AAAGAAAGAAAGAAAGAAAGAAAGAAAGAAAGAAAGAAAGAAAGAAAGAAAGAAAGAAAGAAAGAAAGAAAGAAAGAAAGAAAGAAAGAAAGAAAGAAAGAAAGAAAGAAAGAAAGAAAGAAAGAAAGAAAGAAAGAAAGAAAGAAAGAAAGAAAGAAAGAAAGAAAGAAAGAAAGAAAGAAAGAAAGAAAGAAAGAAAGAAAGAAAGAAAGAAAGAAAGAAAGAAAGAAAGAAAGAAAGAAAGAAAGAAAGAAAGAAAGAAAGAAAGAAAGAAAGAAAGAAAGAAAGAAAGAAAGAAAGAAAGAAAGAAAGAAAGAAAGAAAGAAAGAAAGAAAGAAAGAAAGAAAGAAAGAAAATTAAATTAAATGTAAATATTAAAGAAAGAAAGAAAGAAAGAAAGAAAGAAAGAAAGAAAGAAAGAAAGAAAGAAAGAAAGAAAGAAAGAAAGAGAGAGAGAAAGAAAGACAACTAAAAAATTAAAATTAAAATTGTTACCTTAATTGGCAACTAACTGAAATAAGTTCAAATGAAAAAACTAAACTGAAACAGAAAGAAATGAAAGATAAATAGAAATTAATCAAAATAATAAAAATGACAAAAGCACATACTGTAACTAAACTAAAATTAAAATGAAACCTAAAAAATATGAAAAAGCTCCTTCAAAATATAAATAAATGCTATAATAGTTGATAAATAATGCTCAAATTAAATTGAAATACTGATTTAAAGGGACAGTTCACCCAAAAATGAAAATTATTTTTGTGTTTGTTTTGGGGTGAAGTATTACTGTAAATGGATTTATGGTGATCTGTGTGCAGGTGTTTGTTTCAGTGGAGCGGAGGGGGGTTTGCTTTACAGCTCTAGACATTTTCAGAAATAATCTTTGCTGTAAACAGTCTCCTGTGCTTTCGTTCACCTACTGTTCACACATGGAAACATGAACTGCTTGGCACGGACGCACTCATTGTCTCTTTACTGTATTTCTCCTCGTTTTATTTCTTATTCAAGATCAATATTTACCCAGCAGCCCCTGGGGCTCAGGATTACCTCATATTCTCCAGGTCCAGCTGTGCTTTCTCAGCGTCTCCATAGCAACCTCAGGAATGTGCACATCATGTTTATCCTAGTGCCAGGAAAACAGAGAGAGAGAGAGAGAGAGAGAGTGAGAGAGAGAGGAAAGGTTTCTCTCCTTGAGTTACAGGTACCTGAGTTAAGCTTGTACTTTGTATTAAAATTAAAACTTTTCATGTCATGTGACACACATAATGATTAGCAGTCACTTCACAATCAGATAAACTACCGTGATATTAATATTTTTGAAATAAGTCTCTTCTGCTCACCAAGGCTGCATTTATTTGTAAAAAATTTCAATAAAAACAGTACAATTTTGAAATATTATTACAATTTAAAATAACTGTTTTCTGTGTGAATATATAGTAAAATGTAATTTATTCCTATGATAAAAAGCTGAATTTTCAGAATCATTACTCCAGTCTTCAGTGTCACATGATCCTTCAGAAATCCTTCTAATATGCTGATTTGCTGCTCAAGAAACATTTCTGATTATTATCAATGTTGAAAACAGTTGTGCCGCTTTATATTTTTGTGGAAACTGTGATACATTTTATTTTTCTGGATTCTTTGATGAACAGAAAGTTCAAAAGAACAGCATTTATTCGAAATACAAATTATTAGAAATGTTTTTATAGTCACTTTTGATCAATTTTGGCTGTTGTTATCATTTGTTACATCAAGTCAGAAACTCTTAATTCTGAATGCAGCATAACGTACTACTGTTAGCTTTAGTTCTAATGTTGTTCCAAGGATTCCAAAAGAATTCTGATTATGATACAATGCTGCAACTGAACTATTTTTATCGGCAGAAAAAAATAAACAAAGTAGCTGCTGCTATTTTGTGTCTAAATCTCAGTTACTCAATATTAGCTTCTTTTTATTGAACTGTTGTATAAAACACGCTGGAAATCATGTACTGAATGGCTGCTTGGCAGAACAACACTGCTTAAAAAAGCAGAAAGCATTTTCTTTAAATGTACTGGCTGTCTCATTCTTTCTTCTCAAATGAAACATAAGTCGTTTGGACATTTGGACATAAATAGATGTTCATCTTCTGGCATGGTGAGGTCATGCCACCATCATCTAGCCTTTAATGATGATGGAGTGTTTTGGTTTCTGTCTGTATTTAGCAGATCAGCATGAGTGTTTCTTACGAACTGAGAGACCACATAAATCAGCAGCCACTGACTGTTCTGCGACGAACTGCAAGAAAACCCACCATCCTCCCACACGCATCTCTCTGCTCCTCTACCTCAGCATTTCACATCACACTCATCGTCTAAACGCTTCGCCACCGATCCACTGCCATGTGCACATGCTGCTACTTCATCAGAAACTCTTATTTTGTGGTCAGCGATCTGAAGTTTGAGTCCTGGACACCTGGAGGACTTTATTAGATGGATAGATGGATGGATGGATGGGTGCACTGTAAAAAAAATTCCGTAAAATCTACGGTAAAAAATACTGTAGCAACGTTTTAGGTTTTACGGTTTTAACTTAAATTTACAGTTAAATACTGTAATTTCATTAACTGGTATAATGTTAATATACCAACTTATTGAAGTACTGAAATCTGTTTTGTATCTTTGTAACACACTGATAACCACCAAATGCAGGTGGTGATGAGAAAGTCACATGATGAACCAAAGCCCATCACAAGCAGCTTTTAAATAATATCATATATAGAAAGTGCACAGCGTCATTCACACAAACACTAAACACCATCATGGTAACACACATGAAACTGAAATAATGCAATAAACATTCATTTAACAACATTAGGTGTAACACACAACCCTAATATACAAAACTGATAAGACAAAACTAAGAAGAAACATAGTTATTTCAACAAAAAAACATCACATTTGAAATGTAACACAGGGAATTCTGGGAATGTCAATTTACGGTTATTCACTGTTAATTATATGGTCTTTTTCACTTCCAAAAACGGTATACTACTGTAAAATTAATGTCCAATACATGTAATGTCCCATACAGTTTTTCACCCTATATAGTGGTTGAATTTACCGTTAACCATTTAACAGGTTTTTACTGTAGCATTTTTACAGTCTTTTACCGTTAAATTCACTGTCATTTTTTACAGGGTGGGTGGATGGATGGATGGATGGATGGATGGATGGATGGATAGATAGATAGATAGATAGATAGATAGATAGATAGATAGATAGATAGATAGATAGATAGATAGATAGAAATCATATATATTCGTGCACTTTCATGTGAGCTGTCATGTTCTTGATTTAGACAACTCTTGCATTGTGATTCTCCTACAAGTGACCAGTGGAAACTTTGTCTTTTCCACGGCAACCGGCAGCTATTTGCACTAATTTGCAAAAGAAAAGCTGTGGAAGTGTAGTGTGCTCTGGGAGAATGTTATATTTGGTCTTTCACAGTAATAGAAGTCTCATTATTTAGCCTCTCAGTGCACCAGGAAACCGAGCAAACAGACTGAGTGACCCTTTGTCAAGCACCTCGTCCCCTCTCAGGATCATCGCGGCCCTCGGCCATCAAATGGCACAGAGCAGCACGGAGAGGCCAGGCGGACGTCCCTCAAGTGGTCTGAATTGAGTTAGTAAAACAGATCTGGAGGCATAAAAGAGGACACACTTGGGGTGGAATTAAGAGACATATTAAAACAGCAGGACTGGGATCATGGAACTTCCAAAAACGGTATACTACTGTAAAATTAATGTCCAATACATGTAATGTCCCATACAGTTTTTCACCCTATATAGTGGTTGAATTTACCGTTAACCATTTAACAGGTTTTTACTGTAGCATTTTTACAGTCTTTTACCGTTTGTCATTTTGTCATTTTTTACAGGGTGGGTGGATGGATGGATGGATGGATGGATGGATGGATGGATAGATAGATAGATAGATAGATAGATAGATAGATAGATAGATAGATAGATAGATAGATAGATAGATAGATAGATAGATAGATAGATAGAAATCATATATATTCGTGCACTTTCATGTGAGCTGTCATGTTCTTGATTTAGACAACTCTTGCATTGTGATTCTCCTACAAGTGACCAGTGGAAACTTTGTCTTTTCCACGGCAACCGGCAGCTATTTGCACTAATTTGCAAAAGAAAAGCTGTGGAAGTGTAGTGTGCTCTGGGAGAATGTTATATTTGGTCTTTCACAGTAATAGAAGTCTCATTATTTAGCCTCTCAGTGCACCGGGAAACCGAGCAAACAGACTGAGTGACCCTTTGTCAAGCACCTCGTCCCCTCTCAGGATCATCGCGGCCCTCGGCCATCAAATGGCACAGAGCAGCACGGAGAGGCCAGGCGGACGTCCCTCAAGTGGCCTGAATTGAGTTAGTAAAACAGATCTGGAGGCATAAAAGAGGACACACTTGGGGTGGAATTAAGAGACATATTAAAACAGCAGGACTGGGATCATGGACTGCTGCCAATAGGATCTAACTTCACGGATCTGACCGGATTTGGCAATTGAATTTGGTGATCCACATGACCCGGACAAACCTGGCCACCTCTTCGAAAGCAACAGTGGGTTTAAATGCATGAAGTCTGATCATGTGCTGTCTAATCACAGTGCATAGGCTCTAAAAGTATGGATATGCACAAGTCATTTCTGAGTCCTGCAATGCTTGATTTGGTCACTGATGTGGACTTCATGGAGATGATGCCAAACACACCCGTTCTGGCCCCAAAGGAGACACACAGCACCGACTGCAATGGACTGTACCAGGACTTGACACCCATCCACGCGCTCGACATCTCGACAGCTCGATCGAATGACTTTTACGCGCTGTCGTCGAGCACCGCGTCTCCAGTGAACTCCAGCAGCGGGAAACCCAAACGCAAACGGGTGATCAGCAGCGTCCAGCGCCAGGCCGCGAACATCCGCGAGCGCAAACGGATGTTCAGCCTCAACGACGCGTTCGACCGGCTGCGCAAAAAGGTTCCCACGTTCGCCTACGAGAAGAGACTTTCGCGGATAGAGACTCTGCGCCTGGCCATCATCTACATCGCCTTCATGACGGATATTCTCGAGAACAACTGAACTCATAGTCAATATTTCAATCCTATTGTTTAGATGAACGTTTATCGAGGTACTTAAAAGTTTATTATGGAAAAAAAATGGATTATAATGTTTAGTATTCTCTGTCATTTCGGCCTACCTTTATGGCATAGGTTCTCTATGCTGCAATGGTTGCAGGAGTTAACCAATAACATTAGGACTAGAAAATATTTTATGTAAAACTGTAATATTTCATAATGTACGCTCTTAAAAATAAAGGTTTCAAAAGGCGTTTTGGGGTTTTTCAAAGAACCTTTCGTTGAACAGTTCTTAAAAGAATCATTTTGTTGTGTGAGGAACATTCTAAAAATCTAAAGAACTTTTTTTTCGCTATAAAGAACATTTTGTGGAATGGAACGGTTCTGTGGATGTTGAACCCAATAAAAATAATGTATTTTTTAAAAGTGTATCTGACTTATTGGGGTTTTACAGCTGGAAGGTGCTTTAGTCTAAGACTTGTGTATAGGAATGATCCATTATGATCTTATTTGACTTCTAATCCTTTTGGATATTGCGTCATATTTATCAAAATCCGTGTTGGAATAACGTTTTGCTACTTCTCTCATCTGTAGAAATCCAGAAATACGCAAAAAGTAACTTTTCATGTCCAAAGGTGGTGTTTTGGCCTATTGATAATAAGCCCATGTTATAATTCTATATAAAAAAAATACCAATAGGATTGTTTATTGGGTTGGTTCTAAATAATGATACATTTCCAATAGGGATTCTTCAAAAATTGTTGCGTTTATTTTGGATTTGGAGGTGGTTTACGTTATAATTGTATTTTAGAAATCACTTTAGGATCCTTTAGCATTGGTTCCAAATTACGGTACATTTCCAACAGGAATTTTAGATAAATTGTTGCATTTATTTTGGATTTCTGAGATTCTGTTTGGGTGGTTTTGAGGTGTCTATTACATTAAACAAATATTTTTCTTAGCTGTAAATCAAACGCTGTTTCTTTGTAATTGTTTGTGAAATGTAGGCTACTAGCAATTTCTGAGTGAACAATTTTTTCTACACCAAAGAATTTTTTTATTGTAGTTATGTGGATTTGTTTCAGGACCGTCGACAGATCTCAATGGACACCTATTACAGGTAAACCAAGAACAGGTGCGCCGCACTGGATGACCATAAATGTGACACTTTTGTATTAACCTCTACATTTTTAAACAGAACCTTCCAAGTCATTTCGATCAATCAAATACATAAAAATATAAGCGCATATTTATCTGTCATCCGTGTGTTTGGGGGTGAATCTTCAAGTCGCATCACAGCTGTAAGCTGCGCATTCGCACGATGGCACGCATGGATATGTTTCGTCAGTGCGCCCCCTTGCGGAGTCTTTAAACCGTGGCTTTTTACGCTTAAAACGGAGCGTTTCTGCGGTCTTGTGACACGAGAAGCCTTTTAGTGGTTTAAATTTGAATGTATAATGCTTCTATGTTCTATAGCATTTACAGAAACGTCAGTTTGTGCGGCTAAAGCGGGCTCTTTGGATGTATGTGAAAGCAGAAGGCCGGTTCGGGGAGCGTGTTTGTGTTGGACTGAAGCGGCCACACAGTTTGCGCGTCGTCTGCGCTTGGCGACCCGCTGCGTATGAAAACGCTGCAGAAGGAAACCTGACTCTGCAATAACACTAACACAGACATGCATTTCAGAACATGTTCAAATAAACAACGAGGTCTACTTAGAGAACCCAGATTCGCTCTTTTCTTTTACAGTGACTTGAGGTGGATTTCAGACCGACGCAGTTCTGCGCGCAAAGTGGCAGTAAATGATATTAATACATTAACGGCATGATTGATGCTTTAAACGTAAAGCATCGCTACTGACCAAAGAAAACCTTCATTTTAAACTTTTAAAGCGCATTTTTGGTCCAACATTGCCAGATCGCAAATCATCTCCCCACTCATTCCAGAAACCACATTGAAATCTGTCCAGCTGAAAAGCCCTTTTAATGATTGCATATGAATCACTAATGGCTTTGGCCAAAGATTCAGTACTGAATGTTTCAGATATATACGATTTTAGTGTTTGATGTGTTTTTAAGAAATGAATTAAATTCTTGTTCGATTCTATTCTGAATTACAGGTCAAACATCTATGAAGCTAAATATGTCATCAGTTCATCAGCTCATTTATCAAAATGAATCATCAGCCTATTAATTGGTCATCGCATGTTTCATGTTTCAGTATTGGATCACACTGATGTGTTCACAGTTTTGACATGATGCATGTTTGGTATCATTTTGAATATGTTTTGCAATATGTTAAAAATCCCAAAATAGATTCTATTCCATATTTGAATTCCATAAACATCAGCATTGCTTTAAGTATGAATATGTCATCCGCGCGCACGTCGTGTTCAGTTTAAACGCAGCGCTGTGATTGGCTCAGATGTTCGCGTTAAAGAACGACTTCTTGTATAACAGAAACCTTTCGGATCGCGCTCCTCTCCCGCCTCTCCCCTCTTACGTCTCCGCGCTTCTCGTCCAATCGCAGGCCAGCCCAAAACGTTTGCGCGTTCCAGACTATAAGAGCCTCCAAACTTCCCTTCAAGTTTGAGAAACACCTCCGTGACGCACAAGAGGAGACACCCCGAGAAAGGGACCCCGTTTCGCCGGACAGAGGGAAACTATTATATATTATCTGCGTTTTCCAAACATCAATGTTTGAGGAAGAGGCGATGCAAGAGGAGTCCAGCTCCCCGGGGTCTCCAGTGGACAGTCTGGGGAACAGCGAGGAGGAGCCCGACAGGCGACAGCAGAAACGCCGCAGCAGGAAAAGACGCCCGAGAAGGAAGAGCGGCGAGGATTCGGACAGCCCGACGCCCGGGAAGCGGAGCAAAAAGTGCAGCAGCGGCAGCGGCAGCCCGCAGTCTCTGGAGGACCTGCAGACGCAGCGCGTCATGGCGAACGTGCGCGAGCGTCAGAGGACTCAGTCTCTGAACGAGGCGTTCGCGTCGCTGCGCAAAATCATCCCCACGTTACCCTCGGACAAGCTCAGCAAAATCCAGACGCTCAAGCTCGCTTCCCGGTACATCGATTTCCTGTGCCAGGTCCTGCAGAGCGACGAGCTGGACTCCAAAATGTCCAGCTGCAGTTATGTGGCGCACGAGAGACTCAGTTACGCGTTTTCCGTCTGGAGAATGGAGGGCGCGTGGTCCATGTCAACATCCCACTAATGCACGGATGCGCAGCACGGTATGCAGAGCAAAACTTGACAACAGTCAAAAGTTTGGACACACTTGACTGAGTGATTGATTTGAAAAACTTAAGACTTAAAAGCTCGTGTTTAAATGTTTCACATCAGTTGACTAATAGGCTATACATGATTATAGGGTAAATTCATGCAGGGTAATTGTCATCTCGATATTGTGTTCCAACTGACCTGAATTCACCCCTGTATATGTATTATATGGAAACCGAGTGGATAGTGATGGGAAACCAACTTTAAAAGCGTCCCAGGATGCACCTCATGAATGTCCAAAGTGAGCTGAAATCGAAAAGAAGCTCAAATATAAAGGAGTTTTCGTTTGTGTCACGTGTTTTGGTCACTACATCATTCCCATCCTTCATAATCTGTGCTATTTCTGAGTTTGAATGCTTTTTCTTTCAATAGTCCAAATGAGCAGATGTGTCCAAACTTTTAAATGTTAACCGTATGTTCCTCAAGATGCTTAGATGGTTAAGGTGCTCCTGCGTTTTCAAAACACGGTTCTATAAAAAAGGCTATTTTTGTACTAAAAATAATTCATCATTTAGAAAACAATTTTTGTTTTGTTTTGTTCATGCAACCAAAATGTGGGGGCTTTTTTTTTCAAACTGTTATTTTTATTTATTTATTTCCTGGCATACACAAATACTATTAAAGCTATTAAACGAAACCGTATTGTAATATTAAATCGTGTTGTATCGTCTCAAACACTTTTATCTTTGTTTTTTTTTTCTCCAGATTTTCGGCCTTGAGCATCGAGTCAGAGGAGCTGAACTCACTGGAAGGAGCGACACGAAACAATGGCGAACATAAGGACTATAAAGGGAAGGTTCTGGAGCGCCATGACGCCGTTGCGAGCACTTACAGACACGGGACCAGGAATTACAATCAGATCTGTGCTGTTGTGACGGCGAATGTGGAAAACATGTGCTTCTGTCTCTAGACCAACAGAGAGACTCGCCGCGCTTCTGACAGCAGCCGTCATATTTATTACAGAACGAATGAAGGAAATATGGAAGAAGTTTCTCTGACTGGTCCTAGAAAAGACATTTATTTATTTATTAATGATTGTCACAATGCAGAATAGATCTGGTGTCTATGCATTTTCTATTTTAAATACGATGTAAATATGTGTATATGTTCTGCAATAATACATGGTTTGAAATGTACTTATATTAGCATGTATGTTGTTATTGCAGTTTTATGCATTATGGATTTAAAAAAAATACATGAAAACAAACGACAATAAGCTTTTACACATAAACAAATGCAGTAATCATTCGATAAGATTTAAAAAAAAATGAAAATACTCTTGCTTGATTTGCAGTTTTTTATTACATCGATTTTTAAAAGATTTTATTTTTTTATTTTATCGAGATTTTTTTGCGAGGAAAGTATTTTAAACTATTTAACAATAGCATTCGAACGCTAACATTTAGAAGACTTCTTCTAACCCAGTAATGATGCTCATGTTTTAATGAAATATTTTATTGAGTTGTTTAATTTTTCATTTTATTTAGCACTTATGATTTAAAACATTTGAACGAAATAAATGCACAAACTGTTCTAATAACTGGACAAATTGTGTTACACAGAAATCATGGGTGCATGTTATTTTCTACTATAACAAATAATAACACTTAAGAAAAAAAATAACATAGGGAAGACTAATTCTTCCTGTAGTAATTAAGACACATTTTAACCCAGAAGGAGAGCATATGACAGGTCTGGAAAAGCGTTTAGGATGTTGTGAAGAATCATTTG